TACTGGCTGGACTAATTTATATTCCCACCAATGCTGTGTTGTGCAAGGATTCCTCAATTTTTTCCCACAACCTTGTCACTGTCTGTTGTGTGACTTCCTGGAGAGACTATTGTTGTGTGATAACTTGGTCACATTCTGATGCTCCAGAGACTGGCAATAAAGTCTGCTTTGAATTGGAGGACAGAGCTAGCTATTAGCAACTAAAATTAACCATAGAGGTTTTGGAGGACTGAGGAAAGACAGGAGACACAGGAAGTAGTAGGGTGGAACTTACTTAGAGAGTGTCTTGGCCCTTTAGGATCAAGAAGCAACAGCTGAAGAGAAACATTAGATAGTAGAAAAAAAAAAAAAAAAAAAAAAAAAGCCTGATGAATTAAATGTGCCTGTATTCTTTAAAGATGTGCTTCCCTCAATGGAAACTAGGATATGTGTTATGTTGGAGAAGATGTTTTGCTTTGTATCTACCAGAGAAGAAAAGCTATGGATAACATCAAAATTGATAAAGATTAGATTTGAACAGGAAAAACTTCTTGATTAGAAGAGGTGATAGTTCATCCTACAGCATGACCATTCGATCTAAATTAACTTATAAAACTAACAAATACCTTTCATTTGACCAGATATAACTTGTCAAAAAAGAGAAACTCCCAAAGTTAGGGTTGGGGCAGAGTTTTGTTTTTGTCTTTCCAGAGGAATAAAAGCATCCAGCTAAGGAATCTGAGGACCACTGAACACGTGAGACATTTGTAGAGGAAGGATGACTCATCCAGAGAAAAAAATCCCAAGAAAGAGAACAAATTGGCCTAATGATATAGAATATTCCCAACAGGATAAAATTTCATAAAATCTTCCCAAGTGTTTGTTTCTGCTATTCTCTACAGATATATAAGGCAAATGATCTTTTTGTAGTTCCATTTCAGTTAAAAATCAAAGCTGGCTTTGGAGTTGGAGCATGGGTCTCTCCTTCTCTAAACCCAAGCATGTATAGAATCTAAATTTCTCGCCCTTGAAAGTAATTATTACAGACTGTCTAAGATAATTAAGAAATGTAGTTAGTAGTTAGTCTTATATATCTATCAAATTTGTGGTCATGTCAGCTATGTTTTCAAGGTCAAACAGATATATTTTAGATAGACAAGTAGTTTTCAAATACTTCAGAGATCTACAGAATATGGCATTTAAGGTGTTTTAATAACATAAGACTTTTTAATTACAATAAGACATGTCTGTTCCTGGCAGCACCAATCTACTTCAGAGAAGATGACGGACATTGGAAAACCTCCAATTTGCTTTTTTGTGGCAAAAGTTAGCCATTGGGTTAACTGCCCTTGGACTGCTGACAGTATGCTGTCCAAATTGGACAAACAGGACACAAAAGAAAGTGACTGCTGAACTTTGCCAAGACAAGGTAAGATAGTCCTTCAAAAATTCCTGCTTCACAAAAAAAATTTGTCAGATATTCTAGGCCTGTAGGCCAAGGATGAATGCCCAAATGTTACAGAGGAACCATGGGGTAACTGTCAGACAGCCAGATTTCTATAGTTTTGGAAGTTGTTTGCTCTGCACTTCCTGTTTATTCAAGTAATAATTTATCCTTCTCTGGTCTCTGATGGAATTGGAGACAAGATAGTTATAATTACAGTTTTCTTTGTTACCATCTATTTTTTAAAAAACTTATATAAGAGATGTAAAGTTTATAAAGTTAAGAAACATAAAAGCTTAAATTGTTGATCTGAAAAGGTGTTTTAAGGTCTAAAAAAGATATTTTAGGATGGTAATACAAGTTATGACAAAAATGTTTAGGTATAAAATTTTGGACTAATATGGGATAGATAATAGAGTAAGTACTTTCTTCAGATTTACCATATACAAATGGACTGGACATTGTGAATGTAATTCCTACCTGATAATTATACTTACTTTATGTAGTTTTACTATGTTAGAGTTAAAAACCTTTCCTTTTAATTAGACAAAATGGGAAAATGTTGTGGAATAATCTTTTTGTACATTGTGAAGATGTATCACTTTAATTGACTTAGTAAAAAGCTGAATGGCCAATAGCTAGACAAGATTTCCAGTCACAGAGGATGCTGGGAAGAAGGGTGGAGATGGAGGAAGGACGAAAGCAGGATGGACAGTACATAGATGAGGTAAATAAGCCTCGGGGCACCACATAGATTAATAGAAATGGTTTAAGTTATAAGAGCTAGCTAAAAACAAGCCTAAGCTATAAGCCAAATTAATAGGAAGTCTCTGTGTCATTACTGGGGAGCCAACAGTCTGATGAGAAAGTCCAACTACAGACTATTTTTAGTTACTCCAGATAGAGAGGACAATGCCAGACCAAGGAAACTATTACATTCAAGACCATTGATTTTATGGGGGTTGTGTTACTTACAGGAGCATGGGTAACTTTACAGCACCAAAAAGCCCATTAGCATATGTGATGGCTTATGAATGCTATCAGTGGGGTCTCCTACACAACCTGTAGGAAGCTGTGGTACTGAAAAAATGTCCTGTTCCCAACAGGTAAGAGTCCCTCAAAAATCTTGTACGTTTCTTGTGGGTTTACAGACTTTCTGAGCCTTCACTCACCCTCCAGTCATAAGGAAATGTTTCATTCCAGAGGAAACAGCCTTATAGTAGTGTGTTCTGGTTTGTTTGTTTGTTTGTTTGTTTAGGTGCTGGGGATCTTACCAGGGCCTCATTAGGCACATTAGGCAAGTGCTCTGCCCCTGAACTACAATTTAAAAAATTGGATTTTAAAAAATCTAGCTTGATAAAATGTCAGTCTAATAGCCAGCAATTCTTAAATAGAGATCTGAACAAATGTTAGGTATAATGAAAATATTCCAGGTCACACAATTTAAAGAGGTCGAAGCCAAACAAGCTAGTGATGCTTCCGCAATACTAAATCTATATGGGTCTGGACTCAATACCCAGCAAGGGTTGTATGTGTAGTCCCAGAAATTAATTGTTTTTTTTTTTTCTTTCAGATGATAAACTCAAGGCTCAGAGAGGTAGCTACAGTCATACAATTGTCAGTAAGAGAGCCAGAGTTCAGGTTGGAAGTCTTACTCCATGTCCAACATAGACATCTGAGGGTAGCTCTGGGCCATGGGTGCCCCTAGCATCATCGTATTAATTACTTTTATTTTTTTGGTGACAGAATCTGTCAGAAGCTGTCTTTGTGGAACTACAATCAGAACCAGCCGAGCAGCCCCATGTTTGTACCTAATTGGGGTGGGGGTGGATGAGCTATAGATGATAAAGAAAAGTCAGAGACACAGAAAAAAAGTCAGGAGGGCAGATCAGTCCATCCTGAAATGCCACGAGTTTATTTTCCATCACTCTTATATACCTTAACCAAAAAGGTGAAACATGGTATCATGTATACAGGACAAATAGATTTTTTTCTTCCTCACTTATTCTAAGGGTTCAGAAATCACACCTTAGATTCAACTTCTCCTTTCCTAGCCTTGAGGGTCAGGAGTAGCCACACCTTAGATTCAGGTCTGTTGTTACTTAGAATAAGACAGCCAAACATCCTACTGTAGCCACACCTTTGACGTTTAGGTCTTAGAACTTGCTGAGGACAGTTTTGAATTCTTTGTCCTTGTGTCAAGATGGAGTGCAGCCATCTTTATGGGCACCGACAAAAATCTTTGACAAGAACCAAATTAAGGGAGGAAAGTTTTCTTTTGACAGGAAGCAGAGAGTGATGGATGATAGCCCATGGAATGAAACACAGTTAAGGTGGGTCTTCCTATCCCAATTAACCAGCATAGAAAGTTCCTCCCAGGCTTACCCACAGGCTTGTCTCCTAGGTAATTCTAGATGCTGTTAAGTTGACAATCAGTTATTAAGCCACAGAAGCTGCAATAGGCTTACTACTTACTATGGCCTCACAACCTTGTGTGCCAGGAAATGGACTGTAGTTTCTGCCAGTATGGAGTATTTTCAGAGTATTTACCACTTGACTAACACTGTATTAGTAATGCTTTTCACTTTCACAGTCCAATCTTCTGTTATTTATAAATATTTAAGGTGCAGCTGAGTAAGTAGACACTAGGAGCTGAGAATTCACTGGGAAATAAAAGTTGAACTATCATCAGAGATGTATGTATTTAGGGGAACTTCACAGTGTCTTAGCAGTTTGTGTCAACTTATTATCTAATTATGTCTTTACAGTACTGAATGTTTGAAATAGCAATAGTATGCTTTCAGATTCATTATTACTTAACCCTTGAACTTTTATATAATGTTTTCTTTCCCCCTTCTTAAGGCTAATTTCCCAAATGAGAATAATTAGGTAGGTCAAAGTTCAACATGACATAGAGATAAGATAATTTCAAAGGACCTCACCCTGTTTTGAAAGAGCTATTTTTGGTCTTTCAAATAAGTGATTTTTTCCCCCTGATGAAAGACATTTGGCTGAAGTAGGTGGCTTAGATGATGACAGATAACACACACACACACTAATTAAAAATAAAATCTTATAAACATACAAGTATAAAATTGTGACATAACTCAACTTATATAGCCTTTATATAAACAATGGCCAAAGAACTGGGAATCAGAGCTAGAGGATGGGTCTGTGGTTAAAAGCACTGGTTGCTCTTACAGAGGACCCTTGTTTGATTCCCAGAACCTGCATGATGTCTCACAACCATTTATAACTCACACAGTGTAGCCCAGGCTGGGCTGGAACTCATAATCCTCTTGCTTCAACCTTCTAAATGCTGGGATTACAGGCAAATGTCACCACACTTAACTAACATTCTCTGTTTTGCTGATTTAAGAATTGTTCTTTTCCCTTTTCTATTTGGAGGTAGACTGCTCCAGGCTAGACTCAAGTCATTCTTCTACTTCAGCCTTTTCAGTGCTGGGATGTGCACTATACCCAACTGAAGATTCTGCTTTGATAGCTACCTCAATCATTTTGCATCCCTGGTGCCCAGGAAGTGGTGGAAGAGGATGATCAGAAGGAGACTACAGGGTAAACAATGCTATCTAGACTTCTGAACTTTGTTCCAGGAAGCATCACAGGAAAAACAAGCCTCGTCATGGAAAAATGACACCAAAACATGTAAGAGGTAAAGTAGAAAAATTGTTTGTCAAACAAAGGTGAAAATAGCAAAAGGCTCCAAGATTTTGCTTCACCTGATAACAGGTGATAAAGTCATGTTCGAGGAGTGTAATTGTTGAGTCAGGTGTGGGTGGGAAAAGAGAGATACCTGGGGAGGGATTACTCACCGATTCCTAACCACAGAGGCATATCAGCCTGAGTCACTGAACTGGAATCGGGATAGAAGTATGCAAAAGGTGGCCCTTGAGACAGTTGTTGTTCTGTGGGAAATGAAGAAAGAAGGTAAGGTCTCCTAGGAGGAAGAGTCAACTCCCATTTGAAAAGTCAGAGGCTTCTGCATGGAGAACTCTTTGAAGCAGGCTTCTGAAATATCACCAAGACAAGAAGGGAAAGAAGAATGTTTCCAAGGAACGAAGCTGTCTTGAAGGAACATTCAGGCCGAGAAAGAACAAGCATGGAGTATTTAAAAGAAACAATAGTTTCTTTAAATAGTTGAAAAGAAACATAACAAATAAAAGTGTGTAGGTGGAGGGCTGGAAGGGAAGTGATAAGGTCTTTACATCTGCACACATCTTCACAACGTGTAATGTTGAATGGCCTAACCCCACGTACTATTTGCTTTCTTTTCTTCCTTTTTCTTTTCCTTCCTTTTTTTCTCCCTTCCTCCCTCCCTTTCTTCCTCTCTCCCTTCTTTCCCCCTCTTTCCTTTTGGAGACAGGGTCTCTATCTATCCCTGGCTGGCCTGGAATGAATAATTAGACTCTGATAGCCTAGAATTAATAGAGAATGGCTTCTGCCCCTTGAGCGACGGATTTTAAAGACATGCATCACCACAAACAGGCTCAAGCACATTTAAAATAAGCTTTTAAAAAGTACTTTAAAAATGTTATATGTATGGGTGTTTTTAAACGTTAAATATATGTCTATACAACATGCATGTGTCTTTGGAGACCAGAAGAGAGACTGGGCTTACAAAAGATTGTGAGCTGCTAAGTAGGTGCTCGAAACTGAACCCAGGTCCTGTGGGAGAGCAGCCAGTGCTCTTAACTGCTGAACCATCTCTCTAGACCCCTGAGCACTACTTTCAGAGACATTTCTCTAAAGTGCAGGACTCCTAATGTGTAGAGTCTCAACCAAAGGTAGGCATCTAAAGGAGGCTGAGAACATGCAGGATCCCTTCAAGAATATGGTGGGGGAGAAAATTGTCCTCAGTTTAGTTAAACAGAATTGCTTTAGACTAGCTTTTTATAGTAGGGCCCAGTGCATAGGACCAAACTGGAGGGGAGTCTTTGTGCTAAGTGCCACTTAGATCAGCTTGGAGACAAACTTGCTTTCTCAAAAGTTCCTGTGAACCCATGGAGAAATGCAGTCTCCTTGCTTAAACCTATAAAGACAACACACAAGAAGGCAGGCTTTTCTTTTTGTTTCCCTGTAAACAGACCTGTATTGCTCTTGGGATGAGTTTTTTCTAACTGTGTCCTTTTTGAGAGGGGATGAACGTATTAGAGTTTAATTTAGGACCTCACCAACTCAGGCAAGAATTCACATGCTCTGTGGCTAAGCCATATCCTAAGCCCCTCAAACTTTATCTTTCAATAGTCAGTGCCTTTCTCATTTTTTTGTGTGGATCTGAAATGCTAGCCCACGTAGAATCCATGCAACGATATTAATATATTTTCTTTCATGCTCTGTTTGAGAGAATCTTAGTGGCTATGATCATCCCTGCCTCACTCAACCTCTTCCCCACAGCTGGATTTCAGAGTGGACTTCCCAGACCCATTTTCTTCTTTCTATGTTCTTTTAAAGACATTTTCCATGCTAACAGTTTTTCAGTTCCTTGGTACCCTCCAAGTGCATTTACAGCAACTAGAAATTGCCCAGATGATCTGAATGCTGCCAAAGGCCAGGCATATGCCCTCAGTTAAAATGGCCGCAGTTGCCTTGCTTTGCCCTTTTCCTGCCTCTGCAAAGACTTACTTCCTTTTAAACCTCGCTTTTCCCACAACAAAGATGGAGCCGGCTCTTCCGGTTCCGGGCTCTTGTTGTCCTGGGGTGAGTGACATGGGACATGGAGGAGCAATCTCTGCCTGTTTTCTACTCCATTCTATAATGTCTTGGGAAGCGAGGAGGGAAGGGATGAGCGGCTCTCGCCGGGCACCTGTCCGACCCCTCCGCCCCAAGCCCCGCCCACTGCACCCTTCTTATCGGGTCTGGAATTTAGTAGTCGGGACCAGGACTAGTTCCAATTATTGTTGCTTTGTTGGTTTTGCTTTTTGAGACAGGGTCTCTCCCGACATATCCCTGGCCGTCCTGAAGCTCACTGTATAGATCAGGATGGCCTGGACTTCCAGATCTTCTTGCCTCTGCTGGAATCAAAGGCTCGAGTCTATTTTAATTTTAAACAGCCATATTAGTAACTTGATGTTTTCATAAAATCTATAGTGTAAACTACAACCCGTTTTGTACCTTAGCGGAATTGTGCAATTATCATCACAACCTTGGACTGTTCACCAGCTCAAAGCAAATTTCTGAGGAACATAGTCCTGAACCCGGGAGCATGGCTCCGCCCACCACCTGCCTTGTCCTGGGCTGTGACTAGAGTATGGTCTGTCGCTATGGTTATCTAATTTTCATGCTATATAAACGGAATTAAACACTGTGTGACTAGCTCCTTTGACCAAGGATTTGTAAGGCTTGTTGTCAGGACTTGAGATAATTGCATCCCTTTAATGCAAATAAATAAATAAATAAAAATGCATAACTGTATTGAATCCTATTGCATATTTTTATTTTTCTGATGATCAGGATCTTAATATTTTGTAAAGTACTCCACCAACTGCCCATCAGTTTCACTGTCCATGGTCTTCATTACTATAGAGATTTCTTTTGTTTGGCCTTTTGAGACAGTGTCTTGCTGTACAGTCCAGGATACCCCCAAATTCAAGGTCCTCATGCTTGTGTGTCCCAAGTCACTGACTGGAATCACAAGAGTGTGCTACCACATCTGGCTTGGGCTAATTTCCCTTGTATTTCAGGTTAACTTAGGCACTAGTAGCATCATTTTTTATCTTACTGTTTTTCTTTCATTTCAGGACAGGGTCTCAGTATGTAGCTGTGGCTGGACAGCTATTTGCTATGTAGGTTAGCTGGCTTCAAATTCACTGGGATGGGGCTGCCACTGCTGGGATTAAAGGCATGTGCCACTGCCCCTGCTGAATAATAGTACCATATTAAGATACTGGCTTCTGATGCATGAACTCGGAATGTCTTCCTTTTCTTTAGTGCACATCTTAAGCTTACTTAATACAGTCCTGTTGTGTTTCTGTGCTTTTATAAATAGAAATGGGTTCTAATTCCCCTTTGAAGCTGTTAATTACTAATGTACATAAATACAAGTGATTGGGTGTTGGTGTTGAATCTTGCAGCCCTGTGTAAGTTGTTTATTTTCTAATTTATTTTGAGGATTCTTTAAGATTTTCTGTGTAAGATCATGTCTTTGGGTTTTGTTTGATTTTTGCCCAGGGATAGAACCCAGAGGCTAGACAAGTGCTTAGTGCTTTCCCACCCACCAAACTGCATCCACTACCTCTGTGTCCTGTTAATGGAGATAATTATACAGCTCTCTTTCCAATATGGACACCCTTCATTTCATTTTCTTGCCTAATTGTGCTGTTTAAAATTTCTAGCACAATGTTGACTAGACATGACAAGTGTAGACATCCCTGTTTTGTGCCTGATTTTCAAGACAAAAACATTTAGCTGGGCCTACTGACCATCTTTACTATGGATTTTCAAAACCACCCTTTATATGGTTGAAGAAGACATTTTCTGTTCCTAGCGTGTTGAGTAACCAAGAAACAGTATTTGTCAAAAGTTTGCGTGTGTCTGCTGTGGTTTGTCCTTTATTCTGTTTATGATGTGCAGGCATATACAGATGGATTGGCAGAGGTTAAAATAACTCTGCCAGCTGAGGATGTAGCTCCATGAGAATTAGCAGAATGCTCACTTATCATCAACAAAGCCTTGGATTTGCTCCCCAGTGTCACACAATCCAGGCACACACGTGTAATCCCAACATCAGACCTGGAAATAGGAGAGTCAGAAGTTAAATTTCATCCTTAGCTACACAGGAAGTTCTAAGTCAGCCCGAGATACATGAAACTGTTTCGAACAAACAAACCAAAAGAATGAATAAAATGATTTTTAACATAAAACGACTTTGAATTCCAGGGGTTACTTCCATTGAGTCCTGGAATATAGTCATTCCCTTTCATTTTGGGTATGTGGAGAGTGCCCAGGCTCTCCCTATAAGTGAGCCGCACCTCCAGTCTCTGGAGCCATACCCTTCCTGAACACTGTTGATGTTCTGTAGAGGACTCCTCTGTGTGTTTGTGACACAGGGTTGTGGTTTTCTTATGGTGTTGATGCCGATGTTGTTCTTGTGCTGTCTTTTCTCCGTCTTTCTTTTTTTCAGAGGAGAAACGATGACAGTTTATTATGCAGGGCTAGGGGAGTAGTTTAGTGGTAATGCACACGTGTCTTGTGCTAGGACTGGGGTTCAACCCCCACTTTTCTTCTATCCCATTGCTTTCTCCTGTGCACATTTACTGACTCTCGGACAGTGTGTCTAGAAGCAGATGTGCATGTGCTTATTTTATAATGCAAAGTGTTCTGCCTTCCGCAGGATTTTTACTTTGCTTTGGCACAGTGCTCAGCTTGGAATTTTGGGCATTTAATGTAAGTGATTTGAAACACAAAGCAGAAATATCACATCAGGTATTCCTTTCATTGATGATACTCAGTTTGATGTCCTTTGAAGGTGGGCAGAATATACTGGTCTCATCTGTGACCTCTTCACTACCTTCCACAAACCTCCTGCACTGGGTTACGTAATGAAAACGGAAGCCAGGGGTGCCATGCAGAGGTCCCTGCTGAAGCTCCAGGCTTACTTAGCTGTTAGGACGCCAGTGGAGAGACTGAGAGACGGGATGTTCTGTTTTTGCAGAACCTTATCTTTCCACTCCTTTTAGGAATGGTCAGCTGATACCTTGGCTGATCCTCTGCCTGAGCAAGTGTCCACAGCCTGTGACTGGGTGTCCTTGCCAGGTGTCAGTGTTGATTTGTTTGTTCACTTGCTGTCTTTGCCTGATCAGCACTGGGGCTGCTCAGACTTGAAGCTGGGGGCCTTCAAGCTGGGTTCATTCCGTGGGAGCAGCTTTTAATGTTTCTTTGGGTAGTTCTGTTTGTCTGCCGTGTTGTCTGCCTCTAACTGGAAAGGGGGGGGGTAATGATTGGATTATTGCGGCATGGGGTTATTGTAGGTGAAGCACTTGGTGTAGGGGTCATATCTACTATATACTTGACAAAGGTGAACTCTCATACACTTCTCATATTATTCTGAGATTGCCTCTTCTGTTAAACATCTGTCTTTGAAACGTTTCAAGTTCTACCATTTTATTCTTTTTTTTTTTTTTGTTAGTTCTGTCATTTTAATAGCTGTGTAGCCTTCCTTGATTTGAAATAATGCTTTCTTCCAAAAGTATTGCTTCTAACTGACTTCCAGGACCTCCTTAACTCCTTTCTCTATTCATTCGGTTATTATGTTCTGGTCTCCTTTTAGGCTAGTTTTTTTTGGTTTTGTTTTGGTTTTGTTTCTTTCAGTTTTTCATGACAAAGTTTCTCTGTGTAACAGCCCTTGCTGTCCTGGAACTAACTGTCCAGGCTGGCCTCAAACTCACAGAGATCCACTTGCCTCTGCCTCCTGAATGCTGGGATTAAAGGCATTCGCCACCACTGCCTAGCTTTAACTGTGTTGTTTGACTCATAAGACCTTGGCCTATCTTATACAGCCCTTCTCTGTTACTTAGACTACTGTGGGGTGTGAGTGTCTGTTGCTCATGGGGTTGCCTGTGGCCAGTACTGAGCAGGCTCCAGTCCTGTCAGCCCAACTGTGCATACAGAACCTCTGGGATGGTTCATGGTAGCTTGTGACAACCTAGAATTGGATACTGGGTAATATAAAGTTGATTGCTATGGGCAACTCATGAGAGAGGTGTGCAGGAATGGGTGTATTTGTTGCAAGGAACTTCGTGTAGAGAATCCAGTACCCCACAGGTTCAAGACCCCGGAAGGAAAAAACACTAGGGTTTTCTTATTTTTTAATTTTATTATTATTAAATTTTAAATAACTTTTTATTTAAGTGAAAAACAATGTTATTTTACATACCAATCCCAGTACCCTCTTCCTCCCATCCTCCCATGTCCCTTCAACATCTCCCCTATCCCACACCCCATGCACTCCCTAGGGAGGGTGATACCTCTAGTGAGGGATCATCAAAGTCTGTCACATCATTTGGGGCAGGGCCTAGGCCCTCCCCCAACTAATTTTTTTGTGAATATTTTAAATTTATTTTTATGTGATGCCTGTATGTGTGTCTGTGGACCACATTCATGCACTGCCCTCAGAGTCCAGAGGTAGGTGTTGGATCCCCTGGAACTGGTGTCACAAATGGTTTCAGTTTTGTAAGTCACCACGTGGGTCCTGGAAATTGAACCCAGGTCCTCTGTGCAGCCAATGCTCTTACCTACTGACCCAGATTTTAAACAAGAACTTTTTCCAGTGCTTCATGCAGCAAACTACTTCTGAGGAGTTCATAGCTCATCTACAGAGTTTCTGTATCCAAGATGCTGACAGAGGCTAGCTTCTTCCTGTCCTTGGAGTTGATATCTGGGCAAGAGAGCTCTGTGGCTATCTAATCAAGACCATGAGGCTGGTTCCTCAGTGTACAAATTATGCTATGTTGGTGGTGGTTTGTTTGTCTGATTTTTGAGATAGAGTCTTAGACTGTAGCTAAGGCTGGCTGAAATTTGCAGCAGCCCCCAGCCTCCTGAGTGCTGGGATTATTGGAATGAGCAACCACACTTAGCATAAGTGATCCTTCATGCTCATTTTAAACTCCTAATACCCCTGATGCTAGTGGGTCTAACCTCCTTCTTCTTCTTCTGCCTCCTCCCAAGCCCTGGGTTTTATTTTATTTTGAGGTAGGGACTTCTCTAAGTTGTTCAGGCTGGCAGTCTTGATTTAGTCTCTCAAGTAGTTTGGATTATATGCCTGAGCCACCAGGCCTGACTTAAGCTGGTTATTTTTCTATTCTTTTTCTTAAACAAGCAAAAACTTAAAAAAAAATGTTAGTATACAAAGTAACAGGTTTCATCATAGCCTTTCATAGCTGTCACAGCCTGAGGGTCCCACCCCTGGCCTCTTTCCATCAGGCTGGCTCTCTTTGAGTCCATGGATATTGGCCCTGGCCATGCCTTCCCACCAGCTCTTCATTGAGTCCACCCCACTTTCTAGTCTTCCGTGTCTGAATTCAGAGTTGACATAATGGGTTTATGTTCAGACTGCTCCAGATTCTGAGCTCTATGAAGGAAGGACCGGTGCAGGCTATGCAGGGAATATATGTCATTTGATTCTCACTACCAGATAAATAACTAGAGAGTAACTTGGGATGTGTTCTTGCTCCCAACTGGTCTCTGTATTTCAGACATATTTAGTATTTCATTTTATAAAACCTGCATCGAGTACTTCTGTCATCTGAAATTTGTTCACCACTGTTGTGCCCTAGACATTTTCCCTTCTCATCAAGTTCTTTGCAGCTGTTGTAATTCAGACCTGTAGTCTCAGTACTTGGGAGGCTGAGGCAGGAGGATTGTTTCCAGGCCATTCTGCAATACATAGTGAGTGTCAGGGCAGGCTGGGCTGTGAGATTTTGTTAAAAAAAAAAAAAATAGAAAGAAATTAAACAACTAAAAACCCAGAAGCCCCCCCCAAAAAAACCTAAAAACTAAAACCCTTGATATTCTCATTGCTGTTGAGTCCTTGTTCAACACAATACCTCAGCAGTTCTCTGGTGGTCAGAAGTCCCATGTCCTAACACTCAGCCTCTTTTCCCAACTGAAATACATAACATACATTTATAATATATGTTACTGTTGTTGCTATGAGACATTCTTTCTGTTTAGCCCAGGCTGCTCTCAAACTTGTAATTCTATGTCAGCCCACTGAGTTTTGGCATTCCAGATGTTTGCTATCATGCCTAGCTCCTGGCTGACATTAGGATTGATTTTTCTCAGTAAAAGTCTATCTTGTCTCACAGTTAAAGGAACTTGGTACTCAAACACTGGGTCAAAGGAGAAGAAATACTATGCCTTAGGGGAAGGGAGTGGCTAGTCTTCTGGACTCCTCAGGCTGTAATCTAGGGCAGCTCCTGCTATGCAGAGCCTTTGACGTGGAACTGTTTTGCTTTCCCTTGCAGGCCTATGGAATCTCAGGCAGACACATCCAGCATCGAGTCAGTGGAGAGCTGTACCTTGGACCTACCGACAGCATGTGACATCAGAGGTCAGGAAGCATCCCTGGGAGCCAGCCAGGGAGCCAGCAGCAAGTCTCTGAGTTCTCTGGAATCCCATTCTTTCCCTTGTTCTTCGACTGCTGATCCAGGTAATAAAGAGTTGAATCAAACTAACTTAAAGAATACAACAGATGGCAGAGACACAGGCATATGCCAGTTCCGCTTCTCCACCTAGGAGGAGTAAGTTTTTACCTTACCTAGAAAAACGCCTTACCTGGAAATGCAGCGGAGAAGGGCTTCAAAGAAGCCTTCCAGAATAACAGGGTGGTGTATAGAAACTGGGGGGTGCAGAGGTGAGGACCCAGGCCTCAGGGATCTCAGAGTGTGGGGTGATTCAAACACAGTGTATCTAGACAATGAGGACCAGAAAGGGATGCAGGTCTTTGTTATTCCTTCCGGGGCCCCTGCCTGATCTCTCTGCTCAGATGTGCTCAGTGGCAAGAGGAACACTTGATTTGACAGGGAGGGTAGAATGTGCTTTGTTCTTTTAAAGACTGCAGAGAACAGCAGTGCAGACTACTGTGTGCTGTGGGTGATGAGGATGATAGAGACAGCAGTGCAGACTACTGTGAGCTGTGGGTGCTGAGGATGATAGAGACAGCAGTGCAGACTACTGTGAGCTGTGGGTGCTGAGGATAGAGACAGCAGTGCAGATTACTGTGAGCTGTGGGTGATGAGGATGATAGAGACAGCAGTGCAGACTACTGTGAGGTGTGGGTGCTGAGGATGATAGAGACAGCAGTGCAGACTACTGTGAGGTGTGGGTGCTGAGGATGATAGAGACAGCAGTGCAGATTACTGTGAGCTGAGGGTGCTGAGGATGATAGAGACAGCAGTGCAGATTACTATGAGCTGAGGGTGCTGAGGATGATAGAGACAGCAGTGTGGGCTACTGTGTGCTATGAGAATGAGGATGATAGAGGCAGCAGTGAGGACTACTGTGTGCTTTTGGTGGCGCACATGTACACATGAGGACAACTGGCAGGAATCAGTTCTCTCCTCCTTCCACTATGTGGGTGCTAGGAATTGAGCTCAGGTCATCAGATTTACCTTCTGAGCCATTTTACCAGCCCCTGGTCTCTGGACTTAAATGAGAAACTTTTTATAAGTTCTGATTAGATTGCAGAGGTTGATAATTTAAGGCTAATGGTAATTATTGAGCTGGAAAGCCCATCTCTTGCCCCTTAATTATCCAATCTATTAATTATCCAATCTATAGTCAACAAACCTGGATTCAAAGTTTAAATATGCTAGTTGGTGGCCTGAACTTGCTAGGTAGACCAGGCTGACTTAGACTAACCTTGAACTCACAGAGACCCACCTGTCTCTGCCTTCTAAGTACTGGTATTAAAAGTGTGTGCCACCGTGGAGTCTCGTGTAGTAAAGGCTAGGCTTGAGCTTGCTATGGGAAGGAGGCTAAGCTTGAACTCTTGGTCCTTCTCAATCTTCCTCTGAGTGCTGGTATTATAAGCACATGCTACCATGCTTAGCCTCCTGTACTTCCTGTGCAAGAGCCTGTTTGGTTTTTTGTTTGTTTGTTTGTTTTAATATATCCACATGTCTGTTTGTAGGTAGTGGTAGTTGTGACTTTTCACCTGGTAGCCCTTCAGCAGATCCCTGACAACAGTTTCACCCTGCTCTGACAATTCTGGACCATTAGACAAAGCTTGCCTTCGCTTTGATCTCCAGTGCTGTCCCCACAGCTGCTGTTGTAGCCCAGATTCTTAACACCTCCAGTTCCTAAACCAACCAGATGTTGGTTTGTGTGTTCTGTATGGTTGAGAACTTCCTCTTCTGAGGAGTATTCCAACTGGACAGTCATTGGGGTAGCTCTGCAGTGGCCTATGACACCCGCACATACTTAGGAAAGAATGCTTGGCTCTGTTTAGGTGGCTTGTGCTTAGCTCCAAGCAGTGAGCATGAAGAGCTGGCAGGGTATGGTGGGGTGGAGTTTTGAGAGTGAACTTAGTAGCTATTGAGTTAGATAGAATCCAGGAGCTGACTATGAGTCTGGTCATGAGCTGAGGCTCAGTGGTACAGCACTTGCCTGCCATGCTCAAGGCCCCAAGTTCAATCCAATGCCAGAAAATTAAGAAAGGTATATTAGAATTCCATCAAATTCACCCTCTGTCAGCATCGCTAGCTGAAATCCAGGCATGAGTTGGCAAAATACGAGTAGAGTATACAGTGATGGAGTAGGGTGTCCTTCAGGCAGGGGCAGACACCTGCAACCGGTAAGCCAGTGGGCATCATTGAAGCCCAGCCATGAGATAGGCAGAGCACGGGGGACTTACCCACGGTGGGGTCACAGTTCTAACCACTGGAGGAATGGTAGGCCAGAGAAGACTGGCTTCAGGGTTCCTGTTCTGTTTTGTTTGCTCATTCATTTGAGATGAGGTCTCAGTCATAGCACAGGCTAGCCTGGAACATCACAGGAACACCTTGCAATGGGACCGGCACCTCTGCCACTTCATGTTTCACAATCTGCCAATCGGTCATGACCCTGGTTGATGGTGAAGCTTCTGCTTTCAAACCTACATAGATGATTGGCACTACACATCTTTGAACAGCCATTTGAAAAGTAAAGCTAATAACTTAATTTTAGACAAAGCTTCTTTCTATAGAGTTCTCTGAGACCCATCATCAAAACCATCTGTGTGCAAAACCACTGATTTGTTTATAGTCCCAGAAAATCTGCACTCTCCTTTGACATGAATTCATTTCATACTGAAGTCCACACTGAAGCACAGAAGTGTATTCAGCGATGTCAGAGGCTGGAAGCTGTGTTTCCTCTGGAGCTGTAGTTCTAGTTTCTGTCTGCCCTTTCTCTTTTCACACCAAATTCTGCTAAACATCAAGGAGAAGCAAAGCTGCTAGATGATGGGGGTTGTGATGGTCCACAAATAAACTAAGGCCATGTAGACATCCCTGATCCTGGACCACAGCTTTCCTATCTAATGTGTCTGCTGCTAAATCCTGAGCTAACAGATTACCAATGGTGCATGCGGGTCTTCATTCTGATGGAAGAACATGAATTGATCTTCTATGCCATTTACATGAATCAGATCTTAAATTTCTCCAGAACTCCAGGTGTCCTGAGCCCGCACACAGTGGAGGCTTCTCCAAACCCACCTGGTACAGGAACCCACAGAGCCAAGATCCTGTCCTTTCCACCTCTTCATCTCTTGATTGTTCCTCTTCCTTGGGTACATGGCCACCACCCCATCTACCCACAGGATAAAGCCAACTCTGGCACAAATGCCCATAGTCATGTCTAGGAGCCAAGCTGATGGAGCCTTCTTGCCCTCACCGGATGCGTCTAATCGCACACCACTGTTCATGCCCTGGAGGAGGCTGTTAGAGGTGAGAGTCTGTAGAGCGCTCTCCAAGAAACTAAGAATCCCAAGAGTAAGCCAGAAAAATCTCAAAGGTTTCTTTTGTTCCAGTCTGGTCTACAAAGGCAGGATAGGCTGGGCTGTCATCTGCCTTAATAGCCTTGTTTCTGTCCTGAGGTTACCAGTTAACCCCTTCTCAGGAAGTGCTGCTGAAATAAACAACCATTGCCTCACACAGGCACAGGGTCATGAAACTCCTCCCCACTCCTGTCCCGGTAGATAAGGCAGAGACTCATTGCTGCCAAGGTCTTCCTGGGACACATTTCCATCCTAGTGTGTGACTGTCTCTGAGATTATCCTTCCTCTTCTCTGGCAGCAGCCCAAGCTCTCCTGTAATCTGGTAGTTTGGTTATTTGTTCAAAACTCCCAATACAGCGGCAGTGCAAGTCTGAACAGCCCAGGAACACAGACCTCTGGGACTACTCGTCTTATTATGGTCCTGGACTCCTGTTTTTAGGCTGATCCAAACCTTAGAGCTTTAGCTGCCTGATTCCCTCTTCAGATGGTCTCCCTCCTTGATCAACTCCAGTTCACTCCATGGGCTGTTAAATGGGACCCACCCATCTCCCGACTTTAGATGTGGCAATGGACGCAAACTCCTTGCCTGTTAGATACTTGCTGTCCTGGCTGCAGAATTAAAGGGAAACACAATATGCAGGAGCAAAGAGCCATATTGAGTGATGAGTTGTCTTCATTAAATATGTCAAAGCAAGGTCACAAGGTTTCTTAGGGCACAGTCCTCTGTTCTGTTGTGGCTTGCTAACCAGGTAGGCCCTTAGCATATCTTCCCAGGGCCCACAGAACCTTTGTCCTGCAGATACCATCAGTGCATTCTAACACAGACCAGGGTTTTTTTCTGCAGTTGTTTAGACGTGGCAAGATGGGTGGAGGAAATCTTGGCACTTTCCTCAGACTAGAACTTTTGTCTGAGAACAGTGCTGGGAACTGGATTGCAGACAGCAAGCCTGAGTGTTAAGCACAATAAGTCTTTGATGATTAAAGGCCTTGCTGGCAGGTGGCTGTAAACTTTAACAGTGCTTTAATGTCCCTTGGGTTCTTTTTTTCTTTTTGGTGGTGGTGGGGTGAGTCTGTCAACATCCCTGTCTTCAAAGGTAGCCAGATAATTTGATATTTAAGAATAGGTAAATATGCTTTATCCTGTTTATAATTCATATGGTATTGCTTTGTAATTCTATAAAACTCCATTCCCATAATGAAACAACCAAAAGCCCTTACAGCCAGTACATCATAGAAGTTACATAATGGTGAACTGCTGGATTTGGGGCTGGGGAGGTGGTTCAGTGGGAAAGCACTTGCTGAGCGTGCTTGAAGGCACAGCACCCATGTAGAAAACCGGGTGTGGTAGCTGAGGGGGACCAAGACAGGCAGATCCTGGGGCCTTACTTGTCAGCCAGAGTAGCCATGGTTGTGAGCCCCAGGTTCAGATAAAAGATAAAGTGGGAGGGACAGGAGAGAGGGGTCAGCATACTCTCAAGTTCTATTCCCAGCATTCATGTCAGGCTGCTCTTATCCACAGTCATCCCAGGTCCAAGGGTTCTGACACCCTTGTCCAGTGCTGTGTGTACTTGCTCTTATATGAAAGAACCGGATGCCCTCCCCGTCACATACAGTGAAACATAAAATAAACTTGAAAAACTTAGGTCGAGAGCAATTAAGGAAAACACCAGATGTCA